TACCAAAAGTAATCCAGTGATTACCATTGATGAACTCAGTCTTGAAGGGATTTTGTCTCTTGGGAATACCTAGAGTTTCTTTGAGGTATTTGATTCCTTCTTCTTTGTTGTCTCCTGGTAATGTAGCTTGAAGCACTCCCAATTTAATTGTATCTGTTTGTTTGATGAAATAGGGATTGACTGTGAAACCTCGTATTCTGTTGCATGTATTGTAAGAAACGTTTTCTGTAATACAGGTTCCTTGAACTGTTTTCTTAATTGCAACTGTTTTTATTGGTTCTGATGTATTCTGATCTTCCATTTCAGCTTCTTTAATGATAGAATTTTCTCCGTTTCTATGGAAGTTGGTTGAATATCCATCGGAATATTATCTATTCCCCTGGATTCTTTTATCACGTAACTTGCGGTATAGTTTCCTGCCTTGATTGTTAAGATGTTATATACCTTATCTTCAAGCATAGGAGCTTCGAGGTCTTGTTTCTTGTCTTGACTCTTTTTCCACAAATTGAGGATGTATTTTCTTAACATCTGCTCTTTCGCCAAGATTTCAGGGTCTATATTTAATAGAGTGACTAAGATATTGTCTAATATTAAGGTCACGTGGATTGCTCCTATTGGGATTTGTGGTTGGTCTCCTAGTGTATATCCTAGTTTATGTTGTAGTATTTTTGTTTCCCATAGCTCTTGTTGAGGATTATATCTGGTAGTGACATTTCCAAGTACTCTAAGAATATCTTGCTCATGTCGTTCCAAAATTCTAATAATATTTTGCTCTTTTTGTATCATATTGTCATGTGAGGTGAAAAAACTATTACGTGTATCAGGTTGTTTTGGTGTTTAATTGTTTTTCTTTATGCTGATCTGTAAATACAATACTATTTTGAGTGATGTGATTGGATAATCAGTATCAATATACTGTTTTTTCATGTGTTTCAATTGTAATGCTGATTCTGTTTATCTACACGTGGATTACTTGTTTATTGCTCTTAATATAGTCTAATTGATACGTCTTACTTCTTTGAGATGTGTTGACGGGTCTTGAGTTGTTGTTTTGTCACGGCTAAATTATATTCACTTTTACATGTTTGTGTTTGCGTGATGTGAGTTTAATAGATCAGTTGTTGTGACTATTTACTACTGATCTTTACTGTTTGACCCAAGAGATCTGGACGTCCTTCTAGATTTTTGGAGTCCTGACTTTGAACTGATTTATCAGTTTGAATTATTGCTTCTGGAATCTCTCTTAGTACCTAGAAAGATGTTAATCTGCACTGGCCTGGCTAAGAGCTTTGTGAAGTTGATGTTGGGTCTCAAGAAGCCTACTGTGAATTAGTTTGTCCTTGCTTTCTCTTCTTTCTTAAGCAAAACAAGGATATAAGGATATTGTTATTGACTAGCATAGTCCCTTCCTTGTTATCAAGAGTCAAGTGTATATTGTAAAGGGGGAGGAGTTGTTGCTATTATTATCTCTCCTTGGGGTTGTTTTATGGGAAAAGAGTTTTTTCTTTAGAAAATTACTATAAAAGGAAATTTTCTGAAATTTTAAGGATCAGCAGAAAGAGTTTTTTTTGATATATTATTATATTATTAAATAAATAAGATATAAAAATTTATATATAAAGGGTATCTGGTTTTCATATTTGGATGTCATTTTATCATCATTTGATAAACATTCAAATAAGATGTCTTCAAGAAAAAGAAAAAATAAGTTTGCATTTGAAGAAGATATATCAAAGAAATTTAAAAATGATTATCTTGAGTTGATGAGTAATTATGATGTTTCATATAAATTCAGTAATTTTGTTGAAAAAACTATGATGAGAGAATATGATTTATTTTTAGAATTGCAGGATTTTAACAAACCAATGAAATTGATTCGAGTATTACCCTGCGATAAAGAAAAAAAGCCAATTAATTTTGTCAATCAGTTGTAACTCTTTTCTTCTAAGTAAATTAACTATTCTAAGTAAATTAAATTTGGCCAAAAAATCAGGTAGTTTTTTGGGGTCACAATAGATGTGATCGATAATCGGTCAATGTGATGGGCTGGTTGTGGATAGGACTTTGTGACTTTTGATAGCACGGGAGGTGTGGATTTTTGGATAGAGGAATTTGCAAATTTAATTTACTATGTTATGTTAGTACATTAATTCTCTTTCTAAGTAGAATAAATCTAACCAATTGCAATGTTTTAGATAAATTTTTATTTCAAGATGAAGGGGTAGACAGTTTCGCGGGTGTGTTTTTTTATTTTATAGCATGTAGACAGTTTCACAAGTGTGTTTTTTTTTCTATAACATGTAGACAGTTTCGCATGTGTGTTTTTTTTCTATAGCATGTAGACAGTTTCGTGTGTATGTTTTTTTTCTATAGCATGTAGACAGTTTTGCATGTGTGTTTTTTTTTCTATAGCATGTAGACAGTTTCTTGTGTGTGTTTTTTTTTCTATAGCATGTAGACAGTTTCATGTGTGTGTTTTTTTTTCTATAGCATGTAGACAGTTTCACATATGTGTTTTTTTTTCTATAGCATGGAGACAGTTTCACGAGTGTGTTTTTTTTTCTATAGCATGTAGACAGTTTCGCGGGTGTGTTTTTTTTTTCTATAGTATGTATGGTAGAATAGTTTTGCAGGCATATTCGTGGAACATGTGAGGTATAGTTTTGTGAAGAGAACAAAGGAGAATGGAAATTATGATATAATACACGGATACATGTGTGTAATGTGATTGATAGATAGTGTAATGTTTGATTTGATTTGTGATATGTTAAATAAAATTGTGATGAGATTTTAAGATAATGTGAATTAGATTTTTGAATATTAGATTTTAGATACATATTTATTGAAGATTATAAAGTTATGATTAGATTTTTGTTTTAAAGATTTTAGATTTTTGATTTTGCGAATGAAATTGGATTAGATGTAGATTATGAATAAAATTTTAATAAGCATATAGAAGTAAAGTATAAAAATGAATGATTATTGATTTGATAAAATTAAAATAAAATATTATCTAAAGATAAAAAATATGATCGATTTCATTATTGCAACTTCACATTGTTCATGTCTGGGGAGGCTTCGTCTTTAACTGAATAAGAGTTATTGAAACATATAATCAAAAGATCAAGGATATATATCAAAGTAATCGAGATAAGATTCGATATTTGATATTTCAATTTGAAAATACAGAGCTTGAGGGTCTTCATATGCAAGAATATGTTCAATTTTTTGAGCAGCATGTTATTGAATATTATAAGAAGCAAGGCAAGGAGTATGTAAAGTGAGCATTGAGAGATTCTAAAAAATATAAAAAAGGTGAAGTCATCATGAATAAGAATGGAATTCCATTAAAGGAGACTCGTGAAAAAATAATTTCAAAGGAAATAAAAGGAATCTTCAAGTTTCATTCAATGCATGTAGAATTTGTGAATGCCAAGGATAAGATAGATTGTATTCTCTATTGCAAAAAGATTTATAATAAGTGTAAGTTTCATAAGCACAAGTTGGATTGTTCTAATAGGGATGAAACATCAAGATGCAGTTGTTACGAGTACAAATGTAATTATTTTGATTTGTCCAAATTTTGTTCAAAGTGTGATGAGAGTTGTGTGCAGTATCATACATTGGTATGATATGATAGGAGCATTGATCCTGAGACTTGGTGAATTGAGATGGGTACTTCCGTTGAACATGGAAAAGGGGTCAAGAGAGATCTTCAGGATGCTTTACTGAGAGATCGAGATATTATTGCTAAATCTTAGGATCAAATTAGAGCTGGTCAATCAACCGTGAGAAAAGAAATTCTTAATATTATTGATAACAAGGAACCGGTGACTCAATCGATGTATATAGCTTTAAAGATAGCAGAAAAGATGAGTGAGAGAGAGTTAACAAAACAAATTTTGAAAAAGAGATTTTTTTCTCATAATTTTTTCTTTTATGGATATTTGAACACTGAAAAGATATCGATCGCATGCAAATTTGTTGGATTATTGTCCAGCGAAGGAGGAACATGTTTCAAATCAAAGAATATTAAGTATTTTAATAAATATGAAAATCAATCCTGTATCGTTATGAAGGAGTTTAGTTACAATTCGATAAGATATGAGAATCTCTTGAATATTTGTGAAGAGAATATGGTGGTGATTCCTAGGAAATTTAAATCATCAGTGAATGTGATATCCAAGTTTAACATATTGACATCTAATCTTTCATTGATAATATCTATGAATTTGGAGAAACGTATGAGTTCAATAGAAAAGAGAAGAAGAATCTGAGACATTGAAAGGCATTGTATCGAAGATTTGATAGATAAGTTAATTATTTATATGGTTATGTGATTAATTTGAAGGAAGATTATTTTGAGGGACGAATCGAATGGGTATTTGAAAATGGGGATGTGAATGAATTTGTTGGTGGGAGGTTTGATGTCAAGTTTTTAGAAGGTATTTTATTGGAAGATGTGGAGCAATACATATATGATAATCAGATATCTGATTTATATGAAAAGGAAGGTAATGTATATTTGAAGGTGAAGATTAATGTATTAAATATTATTGGTGCATATTATAAGATTGTTGATAATTTATTGTTGGTGTATAATAAGTATTGGAAAGGTGATGAATATGAAAGGTTGAAAGAACAACATATAAAGAAATGAGATCAAGAGATAGAAGATCTGGATGAATGTGAATCAAAGAGATTGAAGATTGGTAATTCAACATCTGATAGTTTAATGATTGATGAATGATTTTATTTTATTATATTTTGAAATATATAAATATACTATATGTAATAATGGGTCCCTAAAATATTTAGTATATAAAATTTCGCGATCACTTATGTCCCTATTTGAGGGACAAAATTCATAGCTTTTCACTTTAATAGGGACAAAAATCAGGAAATGCTATAAATCAATGATTTAGATAATAGAGAACAATTGTGGATAGTTTTTTTATAGTTATTAATTTAAAAATTTTAAATTTTTCTAGTAAGGGACATTTGACTTATGTCTCTGCCCCCCCTTTTATGGACCCATCTTTAACTATATGTATACTCATATTAAAAATTTAATAGATTCAAAAGTTTTAAAATATTTGAAATGCAAGAAAAAATAAATCAATCAATTGAAAATTTAATTGACAAATGATTTAATCAGATCGAAAGATTTATTGAAAATCAAAAAGCTGAATGATTAAAAAATACAAATCCAGAATGTGAAAAATATTTAAAATATTTATTTATAATTTTAATAATTTTTATTGTTTTTATTGTTTTTATTATTTTTATATTTGTTGTTGATTTTTTAAATCAAAGTATTTATAGACAAAGGAGATTTAGGTTTTGATTTTTAATTTATCATCTGAATTTGTTTTTTATAAAATTTAGATTTATCTAAAAAGTATAAATATAAGTGTGATGAGTACGAATTAAATAAAAAAATGTTTGATTCCAAAAATAAAGAGCATTGTGTGATTAGAAATGAATTTTTCAAAAATTTACAAGAAAAACTTGAATGATGTTTGACTGCCAATGAATTTGAATCTGTCATATATTATTTTGAAGATGAATATAAGATGTTTGTGTTAGTTAAAGAAAGAAATGAATATTATACAAATGAAATGATTGAAGGAATTTTATGATGAGAAAAAGATAGGGTGATTAATGGTTTGTGTAAAAGAATAAAAAAATATTTATCTTGGGAAGAAGGTGACTATGTATATAATCAGTTGAAAGAAACTTCAGATGCACCTAATTAAGAATTTTTGAAGAAATTAGAAGAAGATTTTTATGTTGGTCAGATGAGAATCTAATAGCAGAATCTAAATTTATAAAGTTACATAGTTTATATTCAAAGATGAATTGTAGAGATAATATTTTTAGAATTATTGGTTAAAATTATGTATAACCAAGTATAAATATAAGTGCAATGGGTTTGAATTAAATAAAAATGTTTGATCTTGAAAATCAAGAACATTATTCGATCAGAGATTATTTTTTTAAAAAAATACAGGAAAACATTGGATGAAGTTTGAATACAGATGAATCCAAAGCTATTATGTCTTATATTGAAGATATATATAAGATGTTTGTACTGGTTAAAGAGAAAAATAAATATTTGCAAATGGATTAAGTGAAGGAATTTTATGATTTGAAAAAAAGAGAGTAACTAGAGATTTGAGTAGAGAAATTAAAAGAAGCTTATCTTTTGAAGAATATAAATATGTTCATAGTCAGTTAAAAGAAACTTCGGATGTCTCTAGAGAAGATTTTTTAAAGAAATTGAAAGATAATTTTTTACATTGGTCAGATGAGAACAAGAGAAAATCTAGATTAACTTATTGTATTGAAAATTTAGAAATTGATAGTAAATTATATTTAAATTTAAGATCAGATTCTAAATAGTTTAGAGAATATTTTAAAAATTGTGACTTATTAGAATATTAGATTCTGAAATGTTAAGATGAGATTTTGAGAATCGTGATTTTGTTATTATTGGTTATTTTTTATGAACAAAAATATATAAATACTTATTATTTTATTATTTGAATTCAAGAAAAAAAAAGAATGATTTATCAAGATCCAAGTCTATTTTTTGATACATATTTGAAGAAAGATGGATTAAAAGTTTTTTCTATTTGTGAAGGAGAAGCTGTGGAGATATGCAGAGATGATCGTGTTCTTGTGATTTTTAAGAAATCTGATCTTTTGAAGTATTGTGAGGATCGAGATATTTTTTATCGATTCATGACTTGCTCGTATTGTTTATGTGTGAAGGTATTGGATTTCTTTCAAACTGAAGAATTTGGTGAAACCAAGACATTTGAACAGTTGATGAATGCTATGTATGATCACGAAGAATGGATGAATTTTTCATATAGTGGATTTGGTTTTCAAAAGATATCGGTTTTCAAGAAATTTTTAAGATTACTTAGAAATTGATATTAGTATTTGAAAATGTAAGATTATTGATTATTTGAGTTATTATTTTATACATATTATATTATGAATTAATAAAGTTATTGACACGTGTTTGAATTTATACTAAGAGTTTGAATGTACAATATATAAATTTTGTATAAATAGACATCAATTTATTTTTTGTCTAACCTTATGATGAGACAAATAGTCGTGAGACCTGAAGATGAGACAAACAGTCATAAGACCTTATGATGAGACAATGATGATATATTAAACATTCAAAAATTAGAATTTCAAATTAGAATTTCAAATTTTTTATAAATAGGAAACTTCTGAAAATTTTAATATTCATTGTTGTACATTTATAAAATTTCTACATTATGAACCAATAAAATTATTGATTTTAATTAAGATTGTAAATCATTTTATAAAGATATGATATAAATATGTACGATTATTTATTTATGAGATAACTTTTGAGTTAAAATAAAATAGTTGAAAATGTCTTTTATTTACAAAATTATCCTTAAAAAATTATCAAAAATTTCACAAAAAATTCCTTTCATTAAAAATAATAAAAAAACAACAAATTATAAAACAACTGAAGATCCATGGGTCAACTATGTAGATAATAGTTCTTCATGGAGAGAAGATGATAAACAAGTTGATGATAATGAATGGGGAGATAATGAAGTCACGTTGATTAATAATTCTAAAGAAGAAATCATTGAAGAGAATGAAGATGTTAAAGATAATTCAAAATATTTTATTTATATATTTTTAATTTTATTTATTTTATTAAATTCAATATACATATCTTTGATAATTATTATTTTTTCTGTTATTATATATATTTATAATTTATCGATTGAAATTTTTATCAGTTTACCTATGAATATTTGTATTGATCCATTTAAGATATTATTTTCTCAATGAAATATTAATACTTATTTTTGTAATAGTACTTCGATAGAAGATACTATCGATAAATTAGTAAATGGTATTGTGAGTCCTGATGAAATAAAAATAATCAGGATTTGTTATATTAATAACAGACTATATTCTTTTGATAATTGTCATTTGTATTGTTATCAAGAGATGATATGGCATGGTGCTATTTTTAATACTATTCCAATACAAATAATAAGTGTTGATGATTCAAAAAATAATATCAAATAGATGATGGACAATTCTAAATATTATAAGTTAATTCAACATGTAAATTGAAAAAATGTTATTGTTGGTTCAAATTCATTTTAATAATGATACAATTAATCTGGAAGTTTGATAATCTTTTGTTCTTTGATGTCTCTGAATTTAACATTCATTTTTATAAATAAATTTTTGGGTTCATTATCATCTATCATGAAATTAGTAAATAAAGATTTAAAGAATATGGATAGACATTCTATACATTTTTTTTCATCTTCATTTATATCTTTTTCGAGTTTGTTTATTCTTAAATTTTTGAAGATATTGTTTCTTTCTTTTTCACTTAAATGTCTTCCAATATGCAATTCTAATAGATAAAAGAATTCAGGGCAAAATAAATCTTCATATTGAATTAAATTAAAAGATTGTGACATTCTGATTTTTAATTTTATTAGTGATTATAAAATATTTGGAGTATTTATATCTGATTTTCAAAAAATGTATAAATAAAATCAATTTATTTTTTTGTTAAATAAAAATGATGTGATCAATTATTATTATTGCAATTTTTATGATCGTAACAATTTATTGTGAAGCGAAGATAATGGATTATTATTCAGAGTATTATGTGAAATGTGGTTGTATAACCGCTATCGATACTCATAATATGAAAAAAAAGGACTATGGGTATATTTATTTACAGTATATGTATCATATATATTAAGGATTTTTATTTATTTATACAGTATATATCATATATATATACATCATATATATATATTAATCATAAAAGTTTATATTATTTCAATAAAGAATATAGATACAATTTTGTATGAAAATATAAATATAATGCGAATGTGATTTGATTTTTTAAAAAAAGATGAATTGTAAAAAAAATCATAAAAAAATTAATTATCAGATTAAGGATGAGATAATTCAAATGCTAATTGAAAATCAAGATCAAGATCGAGAGCATTATCAAGTTCAAATTCAAAATTAATCTGAAAATTTTCAACAAGATTGTGAAAAGGTTTGATGAAATTGTGAAAAGATTTGACAAGATTATTTATTAGTAATGATATTTGTAATCATATTATTATTTATATTGATGATAAAAGTTTTTGATTACATACACATAAACAACTCTCTTCATCAAATAAAACTCTTTCCGCTGATACTCTGACCACACACAAAAAAGATGTTCGCAAGAAGTTTTATACTTCCTTGCTAATAAAGTCTTTACACATTCATTAAAACAACTTGAAGCTTGTCTTCATGTATCTCCTTTACCCTCCCTTACTTGTTTATAAACTCTTTTGAATAAAAACTTGAGCCTCTAGTGGCCTGAAAAGACTCAAGTACACACTTC